TTCCAACAGGAAGGAAGCAAGGCTTAAGAACTCTCTAAGCCTGCCCCCAATGATGAGCTTCCTCCAGGACAGCCATACCCTCTAAAGCCTCCCAAAACAGCACCACCATCTGGGACAAAATGTCCAAATACTTGGAGCCTATGGGGAATATTTTCATTCAAACCATCACAAGAGGTTAAAATAGAATGGTAGTCAATATGTACTGTTTCCCATGTCTGAACTGAATGCAAAGTATCAAAAGGGTGCAGTTGCACAAAGGGGGATGTGGTCATCAAAGTATTATAACAACATTTATTTATAGTCAGTTTCCTTTAGCATCCATCTAATCATATGAATAAGAAGGGACATAAAATCTTTTTTGTTCAACTCTATCCATTAAAGTCCCATGATTTCTCTGAAGATTCCACAGTTGTCTGCAGTGACAGAGGTTAACCTCCTGTCAGGGCCATTCATCTTAATAATGCTTGCTTTGCATTATTTGATTTTATTATTCTCCCCTTTTGAAATTAGTAAGATCCATACTCAGCAATAAAGTTAATTTCAGTGTAGTAGGAGGAACAGCGTAAACCAGAATTTTCATGTAAACTGTTTTGAAACAAACATCATAATTCCTAACAATGTAATGTCATTTTTATTCTTAAATCTTCTAAAACTTGGCTTTAAAATATTATGTACTCTGTTGATTTGAGAGCCGTATTTCAAAATATGCTGAGCAATTTACTCCTGTTATTCTTTGCAAGTTATAATACAATCGATAAGCTATAGAACAAAAGTATAAATAGAAAATATATAATGAACAAGACTTTTGTATTGTAAGCAGTTCTGGAAAAAATACAATCATGTTCTTGAGATTTTCATTGTGGGAGAATTTGTCTGGGAGGTATAATAAACATTTGTTTATTAACCAAGTATTTCATTAGAATTTGTTTTAGAAAATTGGTTCTTCTTTTCTGAATATTAATATTGATAATACATGTTTTAAAATAAGACCAATGGGCTTGACTATATAAAGTAAACAGACTTCAGAGGGGTCATGAGGCTGGGTTTAGGGTACTTCTGCTCCCTTCCTGATAACTGCATGTTATTTAAAGGTCACATCCTATGACCTTGCTGCCATAGATACTGCAATGAGCAGCAAGCAGAAAATGATTCTTGACTTACTGTTTGGTTTTTGAAATGCTGGATTTGAACAGTGTGACAAAGAAAGGAAATGTATTGCTTGAGTGTCTCTTCCTACTTCAGAAGATAAGGTCATTTATAATCTTTCTCTTCTGAGAAAAAATGAATGCCTTCATGCAAGCTTTTGTATGACAGCAGTGTTAAGCTATGCTAGCAGTGGACAAGGTTTAGTGAATGGAAGTAATACATTTTTGAAATAGGCTTTGCTCCCCAACTTAATGGTGTATTAGACTAAGGGTACAATATAGTGCCAGGAGTGGTGGCACAAACCTTTAATCCTGGAGCCTACGAGGTAGAGTTAGGCAGATTTCTTTGAGTTTGAGGCCATCCAGGGCTATAGGGTAAAACCCCGTCTCAAGAAAACAAATGAGCAAAACAAACAAACAAACAAACAAAAACCTCTATACTGGAATAAAGTAGACGTTTAGGTACTTAAATATTTTTAAAATACTGAGTCTTGGGCATGGAGAGTTGGCTCAGCAGTTAAAAACCACTAGCTGCTCTCACAGGGGACCCAGGTTTGATTCCCAGCACCCACATGGTGGCTAACAACCATCCATAACTTCAGTTCCAGGTGAATCCAGTCTCTCTTCTGACCCCAACAGGCATTGCATGACATGGGCGCACTTAGATACATGCAGGCAATACAGTTATACACAAAAACAAAAACAATCAATAAAATATTTTAAAAGTACTGAATCTTGATATCTTGTTAAATAATTGTACATTTAGTAATTTTTAAGTTTTACTCTTATTTATGTGTGTGTGCACTACATGTGTGGAAAGGGGAAGGAAGAAAGTGAAGCAGTGAAGCTATTTTCTTATGTTTACTTTTAGTAATGAAGAAGAATATCAACTTTTATTTGTTCAAGTCTGATTAATGTATATAGAGTAGAATTTGAATTGCTGTGGAAACATAGAAGACTAATCTGAAAAATAACCCTTGCCACACATTGATAGGTTCAAATGACTGCTTCAGCAAAATTTGAGGGTGGAGGAATACAGGATAGCTCTTAGAATGTTGTATACTTTATTTCCTTCCCCTTTAGATTTGCAGGACAAATTCTCTGACACCAACTCTTGGGTAATTCATATCTGAATTGTGGAACTCTATCTAGAATAGTCAACTCTATTTGAAGTGTAGTAATAGGTAGGTCTTAGACATTCCTCACAGTTTTGACCCTTAAAGAATCAGACTCTCTAGAGCAGTATTTTAGCCTACTATGTTAAGGAATACATTGTGCTATCTAGATTTGTGCTTACCCTGTATACAAATGTGCAAAACAGTTTGTTCTCACTTACCTTTACTTTATATGGTACACTTGCTGTTTTATATTACATTTCTGTTTCTGTTTTTTAACATGACAAAATTGTGGTCTAGAAAATTTTGAAACCTTCAAGTAGGCCACATGTACACTGTGATAAATTGTTAGAGATCATCACTTGTTACCTTAAAGTTTTTCTACCCTGAACAATGATACATGGGTTCTGTATTATGCAGTTTCAGGTAGAAGTGCATGTTAAAACCTAAGGAAGAACAGAAGCTCTTAGGACACAGATAGATGTGTGGACATAGGGAGGGAAAGATACTCCAAATTGTGTGTAATAGTTCCTGGGGTGAATACTAGAATTCTTGAAGGACCTCTGCATTATCTTACTTGCATTTTTCTCCCTCTTTAAAATAATAACAGATAGCTCCATACTTAGCAATATTGAAAGTCAAAATGAAAGTTAATTTCATTTTAGTAGCAGAAACAACATAAACCAGAATTTTCATGTAAATTGTTTTGAAACAAGCATCATTTTAGCTGGAAAGGGTTCCACATTGTTAGATATAGAAAGTGATTAGAAAGGAATTCCTTAAAAGTTTGGATTTTGTATGCTGCTTTCTGGGGAGGAATAGTCAATGAAATATTCTGCCAAAGACAGAATTCTAAATCTAAATAGTAGAAAATAAGTGTTTCAGTTTATTTGGAATATTTTGCTTTAGTTAATTTGCAAAGAGCACATTTCATAAGTTTACAGGCAATGAGATGACAAATGAAGTCCTTCTCCAGATTCCTGTCCTAGAATATTTGATCTGGTCCTCAGATTCCTTCACAGATTTGAATGTAGAGTAACATAGGCTGTTCACTAAATTAAATGAGAGGAAAATAAGAGGGGAAAAGGATGCAATTCTAGTGGTTTAAGTAATCAGCTAACAAGAATTGTTTACTTTGTTATTACAAATTATCTTTCTTTGAAATTTTTTTGCTTATGATTTTGAAGATTGAACCCAAGTCTTCAGTCATACAAAGCACAGCTCTACCACTGAGCTACACCTCTATCTTAAATTATTTTGAAACCCTTTTGTTAAGCAAGATGAGTCATAACATATACTGGAGGTATAAAAGTGAACGATGACGTGAAATGGGTTTTGTTAAGCTTCTAAAAACTGTATGTAGTTATGAGCTAGTATTTCTGTATTTGAGGTTATTAATTATCTGTGCTGGTAGTCTGTTTGGTTAAAAAAATCTTAGGGAGAGAGTAATAGGAGAAAAATGAGATGGATACAAGCTCTTAGAAATTATGCATCCGTAATAGGTAACAGAAAGTTACTGCCTAACAACTAAGTAATGAATTCTTTAGATAATGATAGTAGAAATGACTTTAGGGAAATAGCTTGAAGTTGAATGATTAAGTGAGTTTTTAAAAATTTTTTGAAGAAGTAAGCTTTAGAGTTGAGAATCCAGTAGCTGTAGGTATTTTCATCATGCCCTGAACAGCATTATTTTTGTGTATATGTGCACAAGAGAAAGGGTTTGGAATATGTTACTATAAATTGGGCTCCTGAGAACTAGATGAATATTATATACAAAATTACATTAGTTAATTGTGTACATGCAGGAGGAAAAACATTAAATAACATTTTATTGGATTTTTCTTGGTGCATTATCATCTTACATAATCAGTAGTGTGGATGATGGAACTGACCATGCGCTCATAAGGTCTTCTCCAGCCTCATCTAATAGTATTAGCTGGGAAGCAATATGAGGTGCATTTTTTCAGAAAGTAGCTTGTGGGGTTGGAGATTTAGCTCAGTTGTAGAGTGCTTGTTTAGCAAGTGCAAGGCCCTGGGTTTGGTCCGCCTCTCCAAGGGTTGTGGGGGTCGGGGGAAGCAAAAAAAAAAAAAAAATTGCCAGCAAGATGGATTAGTAGGTAAAGGCATCAGCCCCCAAGCCTGACCTGAGTTCAACCCTTGGACCTGCATAGTGGAAGGAGAAAACTGACTCCTGCATGTTGTCCTCTGACCTCCACACATAAGCCGTGGTAGTCACATACCTACATATATGTACACACATGCACACAAAATAAATAAAAATGTAATTTAAAAATCTGGGTTATGTAGGCCTGTAATCTCTGCTCTTTGGGAGGCTGCGGCAAGAAGATTACCAAGTTCAAAGCCTACCTGGGCAGCCTTGATCCAAAAAGTAAAAAAGAAGGGGCTAGGGATGTGGCTCAATGATAATACTTACCTAGCGTGTGCAAGGTGCTTGGCTCAATCCCCAGTACTGAGAAAGAAAAGGTATAAGTTCATAGAAGTTGTAATGATTAAGAAAGTTTATATTAAGAGTTAAATTTATATATTCACTATCTAAGGAACCTACTGTATAAGGATTATCATTCCAAGTTCAAAGACCATGTTTACCTTTTTTAAAAAATGCTCTAGGATTCCTTATACTGTACTTCATTATACCATGATAATTATGCGTAATTGGATCTTAAGAGATTTGTTTGATTTATTTAATAAAAAATAATAAATCTGATTATTTACTTTAAAGCTACAGAAGAAAGAAGATCAACAGCTCGAGCCTAAAAAAAGCACCAGCCCCCAAAAAGCTGCAGAGCCCACTGTCGATCTTTTAGGACTTGGTAAGTAATGAGAATGAGGGTCACCATCAGAGCTCCAGAGCAATTGAAACCTTACTGGAAATGAATATGATACGTGCATCTTCAGTGTACAGAAGATACAGTTTGAAATGGTCTGATTAGTTTGCTAACTCTCACAAGAAAAGAAATTTTTAATAAGGAAGCCAGTGCCTGTCAGTTCTGTCATCACTGAAACACAAGTAATGAATTCCTTGGAGGGGGAAAGACATCAAAGTAATATTTAAAGGCTTGGTATATATGACATTTCAACATTTAAGTAAAGAGTGTATTGTACCCCTTTCCTTCCTGGCCCTGCTCATTTAAAAAAATTTTTGTTAGGGATAATTTTTTTCCCTTTCAGCAAAAAAATGGCCTTCCTATAAAATATACAAATTCAAAATTTGATTTTATTTGGTTAATTCAAGCAACACATTTAAAAAATTATTAATATATATTATGCATAATAATGAATTTCACTATGACATTTTCATACATGTATATAATGTATTTTGATCAAATTCACTCCCCTATTATGCTTTCTTGTCTCCCTCACATTGCTTCTGAGCCTTTGATCCTTTGTCCCCCATTTACATTCATGCCTTTTATTTTTTATGGGTGTGTGTGTGTGTGTGTGTGTGTGTGTGTGTGTGTGTGTGTATGTGTGTATGTGTGTCTCCCAGTGAGGTTAAATAGGTTGCTTATAGGAGCATGAGTGAGGGGTTATTACAAGCTCATGAGCAACTTACCAGTGGCTCTACCACTGAAGAAAATGACTCTACTGGTGTATTAGTTACTTTTCATTGCTGTGATAAAGCACTGTAACTGAAAATGACTTATGGAGGAGTTTATTTTGACTTATGGTTCCAGAAGAAGAGTTCATAATGTTGGGGAGGCATGGAAGCAAGTGCCTGAAGTAGGAAACTGGCTGATCACATTTCATTCCGCATGCAGGGAGCAGAGAGATTGAACTGGAATTGGCTGAGGCTGTAAATTCTCAAAACCTACCCCTAGTGATATAGTGATATAGTTTCTCCAACAAGGTTGAACTTCCCCAAACACCTAGGGGCCAAGTGTGTACATATGTGAGCAAGCTTGTGGGGGACATTTCTCACTCAAACCACACTCTCCTACAGCAACCATTAATTGCCCACCATGATGAAATGTTGACAGGCCCAGTCTTTTGAAGGTAAGTACTGCTACTGAAAGTTCAAGAAAGGATTGGCATGGCATGCCTGCAAGACAGTGTTCACAACATTCTACCCCTTCCTTTGGCCCTTTCATTCTTTCTACTCCCTCTTCTGTGAGGGAGTAGAGCTTTAGATACGGTGATATAAAGGTCCCTTTTATAGCTGAGCCTTCAATAGTCACTTGTCCTCAGCACTTTGATCAATTGAGTCTCTACAGTAATTGCCACCTACTGCAAAATGAGGTTTCTCTAACCAAAGATGTCGGCAGCACTAATGTATGGGCATAAACACAATATTAGAAGACAATTCCATAGGTACATCTTGTCCATTTTGCAAACCAAAGCAGCAGTACCTTCCTTATTAGGGCCAATGACTTTGCTAGCCTGAGCTTTTGACTAAGTTTATAGTACCAGATATGAATTCCCTCCCGTGACATGAACCTCAAATCCAGTCAGAAACTGGTTGGTTATCCCCATAATAGTCAAGCCACTAGTCTATCAAGTAGGTATGTAGCATGTGGGGTAACTGAATGCGACAGCTAAGTAAGACAGTTCTCCCCTAGGAGTTTGCATGGCAAGTTCTAGGACCATGAGAACTTGGGAGGAAGCATTCAACTCAGGTTCAGCTTCATTTCTCTGTATCCTACAACCAGAGCATGTACTATCTTCAGCCATAGAGTCATGTCAGCTAGTTCTGATAGGAACATAGTGTGTATTATTTTAGGGTTCTCAGGAGCCACCCTGGCCAACAACTTGTAGGGAAATAGCATACTCCTCTGACACTGGAATTTTTAAGAAACGTGACTTGGAGCTGCTTTAACCTATGCAGGGTACCTCTGTTCAAACTCTTTTTTTTTTTTTTGCAAGTTTAGTTTTTAATTACCTTATCAAGAATCAGGTTTCCTTTTGGCTTTTTCTATACCTACTTAGGTTTGCTTGGCCTTCTACCCCATTCCCACTTAAACCTTTCTACCTCCACTATTCCCTTTTCTGCTTTTATATAGCATGCGTTCTACTACTTTACCCTCTTTTTCTCCTTTTCTACCCCTTCCATAGAACTTTTTCTATCCTTCTGGCCTCAAATTAGATTTCGGATGCCTATTAGAGATAGGTTAAGTAGGATTTGTTGACTTCCTTTTTTTGTTTTCATGTATTTTATTTTTATTTTCATGTATTGCCTGCATGTAGGTAAGTGTACCCGTGTCGTGCGGTGCCTGCGGAAGATAGAAGAGGATGTCGGATCCCCTGGAACTAGAGTTATGGACAGTTGTTAGCTGCCTTGTGGGTGCTGGGATTCAAACCCAGGTCTTCTGCAAGAACAGTTAGCATTCTTAACCACTGAGCTATCTCTCCGGCCCCATTGTTGACTTCTTTAATGAAATGAGAAATTAAAGAGGGAGACTTAAAGATGGTATTAAATATTTTTGGACTAGCGATCAGAAGAATGGAGTTTGCCATTTACATTGGTGGGATAGTCTATAAGAAATCTGTTTGGAAGATCAGGATTTTTGTTTGGCCATAATATATTGAATGTTTAGTAGACCAAAAATTTAATTTTAATAAAAGAAGATGTTAATTAGGTTTATATGACTTAAGCATTTAAGCAGATATCTAGATGAGGAATATAAAATTAGAAGTTATTGACTTGTAGGGGTTAGTCAACATTATGAAAATAGATTAGTTCATTAAGGGAGTGAAATTAGGATAAAGAGAAGAGGTTTAAATTCTGTGCCCTATGGCATTTAGATATTTAGAGGCCAAGGAGATAAAATAAGAGATCTGGAAAATTGGCCAGAAAGAAATGAGTTGTGAAGTAGGTATGCTATGTGACATTTCCCTTTTAAGTGAAGCCAGATACACTAGATTGCACCATGATAACAAGCTTCCTCAGAGTATTGACAGCTTATAGGAAAAAGTTTATTTCTCACCCATGTTTTGTCCGTTTGAAGCCAGCTAATGTTCTGCTCCACTTCAAATTCATTTCAGTACCCAGGTTGACAGAGCAGTCTCTGTCTCAAACAAGAATTGGCCAACCTTCTATAGAAACAGCAAGTAAGTATTTTAGGCTTTATGGGCCATAAACTCTCTGTGGTAACTACTTGGCCATAGATAATACCTAAACAAATAGACATAACTGTGCTCCACTAAAACTTTTATTTACAGAAAAGGTAGAAGACCAAATCTGGCCTGCAGGCCCCTGGTACTCAACTCATTTATTGTTGGTGATTATCCCAAAGGGACAAGAATACATAGTAAATGTGTTCTCTTAAAGGTTGTGTTTTCAAGTTATTTATAGCTGTCATTCTACTCAGGTTTCAGTGGTTACATAGCCATTCAGCAGGAGGCTACATGGCCTACCCACAGAGAAATACCACCACTGAATATGCAGATAAAGTGAGGAAGAAAGTGTTTGCAAGAAGAGAGAATACTAATAGTTGTTTCATGTTTCTGACTGATCAAGTAGAATGATGGTTGATAAACCATTGGATTCAGCAACACAGATGACAAGAGTAACCTTGAGCTGCTAGAAATGTCAGGATGCGTGTTTGAGAGAGAGTAGAAGGAGAAAAATAAAAGCATATGTATAAAAAGGAGGGGAAATAGAGCAGTAAGTACAGGAGGATAAGGGCAGGAAAAGAGTTTTTTTGTTTTTTGTTTTTTTCTTTAATGGATGACATCACAAGGTGTTTCCTGTTTTTAACAAACATGTAGAGTAGGCAAATCTGATAATTCAGAACAAGGAAAAACAGTTCTAACAATGTCTTCTAATAGTCTGAGGAGATGAGCTCTAGTAGATAAATGAAATGAGTGGTCTTCAAGACTCAGTAAGCTACAAGGCAGCAAATGAGATTGCAGTTGAACTGCCACAGTTGATCCACAGACCTGAAAGTGAAAGATAAATGTTTATTGTTATTAGCTGTTACCATCTGGGGTTAGTTGCTGCACAGTGTTATTGCAACAGTATCACAGAGTTTAGAATTTGCTTATGGTAGCTCCCCCTCCACCCCCGCTGGTGTCAGTTTCTAGAGTTAACTGCTGCCATCCATACAAACAACTCCAAAATATCAAATGGTTTCTACTAACATTTCATGCACACTTGGGACAGTCTGTTAGGACATCACTCTTTTAGAGGAGCTTCAGGAAGCTTTTTAGAGCAGAACTGAGGTTCATTTACATCAGTAAGGGGAAGGAAGTATTGATGAGGAGGGTACACATACAGTGGAGTTTGCTAGTGTTGGTAGTGGACAGCAGTGAAAGGCTGTATGGTGGAAGAGTTCCAAAGGTGGGGGATGGGGAAAGGGGAGGTATGTTTTTTAAAGCACATGCAGCTCTTCAAAATATTTTCAGACATTTTCTAAAAAACTGTGCTGAGAATAGGATTTGATGAGTTCATGACAGCTCATGAGACTATAGAGAATCAGGGACCCTTTCAGAGGCTGGAGAGATGACTCAGTGGTTAAGGGCACTACTGCTTTTGCAGAGGACCTGAGTTTGACTTCCACTACCCATGTCAGGAGACTCACAACCACCTGTAACACCAGCTTCAGGGAATCCGATGCCCCTCCTCTGGACTGTGCAGGTATTGGCACTCAAATTCACATGCCTCACACAGACACACATGCATATACATAATTAAAAACAAAAGAAATCTTTGGGAAAAAAATTAACCCTTCCAGGTCAAAACAGTTATTCTGAATCTGGAATGTATTGGTGTTTGCTTCAGGCAATAGACTAATTTTTTGCACAGGACCATGTCTACCCTTTCCAGTAAGATTCTGTGTGTGTGTGTGTGTGTGTGTGTGTGTGTGTGTGTGTG